GATTAAAAAAACAAATAAATGATAAAAACAATAATAATAATACACTAAACCAACAATTAGAAAACTGTAATAAAGAAAAAGAATCCTTGAAAAATACAAACAAAAAATTAAAACAAGAACTAGAAAATTGTAATAAAGAAAAAGAAATCTTACAAGATAAAAATAAAAAACTCGAAGATGAAATTAACAAACTAAAAGAAAATGAACCAAATGAAAACCTCATAAACGAAAATAAAGAATTGAGAAAAGAATTAGATAAATGTAAATGAGATAATGAACATTTGAAAGAAGGAATTTCAGTATTAGAAGAAATAGTAAAAAAATGTGATGAATTCTACACAAACCTAGATAAAAAAATAAATATTATATTAAATAATTTTATTGTAAAATATATAAAAACTGATGAACTAGAATCTAAAATAGATAAAGTGGTTATAGTTAGTGAAGAAATAAAAAAAGTTCATTAATATAAATAACAACATTGTATTCATTAATCAATAAAATAATAAAATAAAATGTCAATCTCCGCTGAACTAAACTGAATCGTAAATGAATTAGAAACTTTAAAAAATAAAAATAAAACCCTTAATGAAGAAAATAAAAATTTACAAAATATCGATGAAATATGTAAAAAACTCATTGAAGAAAACGAAAAACTTTTTTTAATGAACAAAGAATTAACAGAAAAAAATGATAAACTTGTACTTGACATAAACGGAAATAATTTATTTATTTATGAACAATTAAATATAAGAATAACAGAAACATTAGAAAATTTATATAAAAAAATCGATAATAGCTTAATATTATTGAAAATTAATTTTTCGGTTTCTGATATAAATAAAATAGATAAAATCATTTTAGCTAGCGAAAACCTCAAAACAATTCAAGAATGATTTCTGCTCAATTACAATGAATTCAAGATAAAATAAACTGATTAAAGAAAGAAAACGAAAAACTGGAAAATGAAAATAATCAAATATTAGAAAATAGTCAATATGATAAATTATTAAAAAGAAACCAAGAACTAAAAAAAGAAAATGAAACCGCTGTTTATCAAAACAAAAGATTAACTAAAAAATTAGAAAAAATTTTGAAAGACTCCACGAAAAAATAATAAAATATGAAGAAAAAGAAAAAATATTTAATATCTTGAATGAAAAAATAGATATTATATTAGCCAATTTTGATTTTGAATTATTATTTCTGCTAAACGATACTTTAGAAAAAATGGAAAAAATCGTTAACTTATGTGACAAAATTACACGAATCAATCAAAATTAGTTTTTTTTTTTATTATATAAATAAATAAATAAATTTTTTCTTTCAGAAATATTGTTTATTTCTGGTGAACTTAATAGAATTCAAAAAATCATAAATGATTTAAAAAAAGAAAAAACCATTCTAGAAAGTGATATATCTACATGTAAAAATAAAACCAAAGACCACGAAAAAAACAAAAAAATTAATCAAGACCTAAAAAATCTAGAATATAAATATTATTCTTTCGAAAGGTCTTTAAAAAATATATTGGAACAAATAGAAAAAGAAAAGAAAATCAATATCGAAGTACAAAAAACAGTTGAAATATTAGATCAAAAAGCTGATATTGTGTTGAAAAACTTTAACAGATTGATAGAATTTCCTACTTTAAAAAATAAATTAGCTTTAATTAAAAAAATTAGTGAAGAATACAAATGAATTTCTCATCAAAAGAAATCGAAAAACTTTAAGAAATCATCGATAAAATAAGAAATGAAAATAAACTCCTGTTAAAAGAAAGAGATGAATGTGATAAAACAGATCTTAATAATTAACAAATCATCGATGAAAATAAAAACTTGAAAGAAAAAGACTTCGAAAACAAAATATTAGAACTAAAACAAGAAATAGATGGAGCAAAAAAAGTACTTTCAGGGTTTAAGAAAAGTAATAGCCTAGAAAAAGAAAAAACACGTATAGATGAATCGTTAGATAATTTTAAAATAATCTACAACAAACCGATTCATTAGAAACTAAAATGGATCTTATCATAGAATTTAGCAAAACAATTAATAATAATAAATAAATTTTTGATGAACAATATATTACTATATTTAGATTCATTAAATGTAGGTTTTCCTACATTTAATGAATCTAAATATAGTAATGCTTTATTATTCATATTGTTCTTAAATTGAAGAATCACATGAGATTTTTATCAAAAAGAAAAAAAAACGAAACTTCCTTTTTGTAACTTTTTTTTTTACTTGTTATCAACAAATATAAAATAAAAATTTATATTATCAATTGTAAAATTAAAAGCAATAAAATTTTAACTTTAAACCATTACAACACAAACGATAAAAGAAACTAATATATTTAATTTATATTATTTCATTATAAATAATGTAATTTTTTTAGTTTTGATAAACATTTAAGTTTTACTCGAAATAAAATAAAAACAAAACAAATAACTACAATTAAATTTATAACAATAAACAATGTGTTGGACTTGCAGTGGTTGGTGTTGGCTTGGTATTCCTCATAGATGCAGAGGTGGAGGAAGAGGCGGATAGAGACATCCAAATGTAATTCATCATACCAATATCGTTTATCAAACAACCGTAATTGATCGTACCGATTATGGAAGAATTCGTGAATTAGAAACCCAATTATCTAAAATAACAAAAAATAGAGACAATTGGAAAAAACAATCTGAAGAATGGAAAAAACAAGCAAATGAAATGGAAGAACAATTAAAAGAATGTGAAAAATATAAAAAAGAAGTAGAAGATAAAATTAATAAAATTATGATAACTCATCTCAACATAAGTAGAATTGAAATCGAAAAATTAACCACTATTAGAAAATTAGAAACAATCTTAAACTTCATAAAACAAGAAGTAAAAGAATGTTTAAGGTTACTTGGAATCCCTTTTCAAACTGGTGATAGTTTGATTTCTATGCTTAAAAAATTAGTAAAAGCCTGTGAAGAAATTGGAATAACTGGTCCTGTTCAAGAAATGTTATTAAGATGTTTAAA